CCCAAGTAGCTGGAACTACAAGTGTAAGCTACAATGCCGACCTATTTTTTAAAAAAATTTTATAGAGATGAGGTCTTGCTGCAAAACTTCTGGCCTTAAGAGATCCTCCCGCCTTGGCCCCCCAAAAGTGCTAGGATTACAGGTATGAGCCATTGCACCTGACCAACACAATACTTCTGACACCTGAAGTGTGGGGGTATTTCCCCAGGCACCAAGTAATCAGTTCAACAGCAGACACAAGCTAAGTGTCCTCTAATTCAATTCAATTCTGACACCATCCATTGGGTGGGATCCCACAGGTTGAGGGCTCGGTCCCATAAGAATTACACCCCGCACCCCACCTTCAGATGCCATTTGGAAGCCCCAGGTCGTGACCTGTGTTTCTGACTGACCAGCTGTAAATCAGGATACCCACAACTTCCTCCTTGGGTTTGATAAACTTCCTAGAGCAGCATATAGAACTCGGGGAAACACTTTACTTACATTTACCAGTTTATTAATAAAGGATAATAAAGGATACAGACATGGTATCAGGTCAAGTATGGGAGAAGGGGCGTGCACCACCCTCCAGAAGCCTCTGTGTGTTCAGCTATCTGGAAACCCTCCCACCCCAGTCCTTGTGGGTTTCTGTGAAAGCTTCATTACAGAGCCAGGATTGATAACATCATTGTTTATTGGTGATCAACTTAAAACTTCGGCTCCTTTCCCCTCCCAGGAGCTTGGGAGGTGGGGTCAGCCCCACCTTTCCACACATGCCTTGGTCTTTAGTGCCCCACTATGCTGAAGCTATCTAGAGGCCTCTGGCCACCAGTCATCTCATTAGCATACAAAAGGCATTCTTCTGGAGATTCCAAGGGTTTTAGGAGCTGTAACAGATAGGAAGATCAAATACTTATTTCGCAATATCACAACACTAAGTAAAAATTGATAATTACAAAGAATAGTTAAAAATAAAGTTGAAGGTAGCTGAAGATAAAGCCCAATTTTGGAAAGAAGTTAAAAGTTTCTGGGGCCGGAGAAGCCAATATACAGAAAGACCCAGAAGGATTAGACAGCTGAAGTCAAAGACCAGTGTTGCCAAGAATAAAAAACTCATTTTGGCTACCTGTCAGAGTTTTGTAACTGAGTCCAAACTTGTACCACTTGCTGTAAGACAGCCAATAAGTTGAGAGACAAGGTGTTGGGGCAAGGAAAGTAACTTTTATTTCGAGAGCCAGCAAACCAACAAGATGGCAGAATGTTCTAAAGCAGTAATCTCCAATTTTTTTGGCACCAGGGACCAGTTTCATGGAAGACAATTTTTCCATGGATGGGGAAAGAGAGAAAGGGGAATGGGTTGGGGGTGATTCTAGCACATTACATTTATTGTGGAGTCAAACCTCTCTGCTAATGATAATCTGTGTTTGCAGCAGCCCGCAGTGCTAGCATCACTGCCTCAGCTCCACCTCAGAGCATTCATTAGGCATTAGATTCTCATAAGTAGCACACAACGTACATCCCTCACATGTGCAGTTTACAGTAGGGTTTGCACTCCTATGAGACTCTGATGGTGCCACTGATCTGACAAGAGGGAGAGCTTATGCAATGATGGCAGTGATGGGGAACAGCTGTAAACATAGATGAAACTGCTTGCTTGCTGCCGCTCACCTACAGAGAGTAGCATGATGGTTATCAGCAGCTAGGAAGGGTATCGGGAAGGGGGAGATAAAGTGAAGATGGTAAATGGGTGCAATTATATACTTTGATAGAATGAACAATATTTGATAGCACAACAGTGACTATAATCAACAATAAGTTAGGGTATACTTTAAAATAACTAAAAGAGTGGAATTGGAATGTTCTTAACACAAATATCAAATGCCCAAGGTGATAGATACACCAATTACCCTTTAATTTCCATTGTATGTCTGTATCAAAATATCACTTGTGCCCTATAAAGATCCACAACTATTATGTACCCAAAATAATTAAAAATAAAAACTTAAAAAAACCAAAACATAATTAAAAAAAACCCCAATTGTTTTTTAAAGAAAGAAAATCACCAATGTGCCTATTATCCTACAAAGGTTAACTGTTTTGATTTTTGCATATTTCCTTCTGCCTATATGGCACAAAACTTTAGGGCTGAAAGACACTTTAGAAATCAAATGGTTCACTTTCTTTATTTTCAGATGGGAAAACAAAAATCTGGAGAGCTATGAGGTTAACCTAGGATCACACCTTATTACCTCCTCTAAAATAAATTTTAATGCTAAATTAATAAAATAATAGTTAAGACACGAATAACTCCCTATTTGCTGATTTTATCCACTGAGAACGCAACTGCAAAGGAAAAACAAATCTCTGTCATGTAATACGATATTAGCATTATCAAAGGCAATCTCTGGAGAATTATAACTGCAAAATCTAAATTCCTTTATAAAAATTCCCAGAAGTCCAGGAATTTCCAGAAAACAGGTATAAATTCAAAGCCTCTGGATTTAAGGATTTGACTTCAAAGTTCACATATTTGCTGTGCATTGCTATTGTTGATGCAGCCTGCAGATTGTTGATTCTGAAAGATACCCTCCTTGATAAAAAGGCAAATTATATGTATTAAAGAAAGCACCTAACTGAGGCTTTCTCTCAGCTGTAATTCAAAGAATTGAAACAGCATTGAAAATAGGAGTACTTTGTAGGGAACATGGATGGCTTTCAAAACAAGTATGTTAGAAACAATCTGGACTCACATTAGTGGGATTCTTAATATGCTGTAGCAGAAAATGGCCCAAAATGGAAACTGAAAACTCCAGTTCTGATGCTAGTCTGCCACTAACCAGGAATGAAATCTGAGGCAAAATACTTAATTTTTCTAGTTTTTTCTTTCCATGTTGATAAAATGGGGTTAGCCCAGGGTGATCTCAAAATTCTTTTTCAATTATAAAATTCTATGATTCTTTCCTCTGTGTATGTGAAAGGTATCTTATATTTCAGTCTCTAGGAAAACCCCAGGTATGAAGAAATGGCTTTAACAAGGTGGTAATATCTTTTTGTTCTCTTATGAAGTGAACTCTGGATGGAAACCTGGCACTTCTTTGGCTTCCCCTTCTCTCCTTTGTCTCCCACCTTCTTACTCTATCTGCGACAAAACTCAACTGTCTTGTCACTTCTGTCTCATCACTCTTTCTTCTTCACTCACACTACCAACACTTTAGTACTCCTCATTTCTGAACCACAGGAACGAGTAACTACTTTTCTAGTGTTCTTCTTGGAGTACAATCTGCTTCCTTTGAACTCCATTCTGTTTATCATTAAGGTTCACATACCCAAGGGAATAATCTTTGATTTCTTGATTACTTTCACATATTCAATCCGTCAGCAAATCCTATTGGCTCTCTCTTTAAAATATGTCCAAAATACCACCACTTATCATCTTCATTGCTATTACCTGGGTCCAAGCTAGCAATAGCTTGATTCGCCAGCTTTGGTCCTTATCCCCATATAGTGTACTCTCATCACAGCATCCAAAGCAATTCTATCAAATCAAGTTAGATTATATCACCCCTCTACTCAAAGTAACTTTCTTTATAAGGACCTACAAAGCCCTGTGTGCCCTAACCAATGTCACTTCTCTAACTTCATTGTCCATTAGTCTCTCCCCATCCTAAGAGTATATAAATCTTTTACTCTTCTCCCAATATGCCGGGAATATGGTTGCTTCCAGTGATTTTTGTGCTTGCTATTCCTTTTGCCTGCAATACTCTTTCACCAAACAGCTGCATGGCCAATTTCCTCACTTTACCAGTTAACTTCAATGTTATCTTCTCATGTTTGGCTTATTTTTCTTCTTTTTTGTCTCTCTTTTCCATGACAGTAGGGATTTTCCTTTTGTTTATTGTTATATCACAAGCACCTAGAACAGAGTCTAACGGGTGCTCAATTATTATTTATTGGTTATTGACTGAATTGTGGCAGATCTGTACTAAGGGAACATAACATGACACGGAGATGGAGACACTAGATAAAATGTCTCATTTGTTTGCTCATAGCAAAACAAAATTTGACCATTTTCTTAATCTACTGTAGTAAAAACTGCTATGACTTTTGTTAATTGCAACATGTTTTAGATCTCAGGAAAAGCAATATCCATAATTAAAGGCTTAATTTGGTCACTAGGAGATGAATTTTATTTCCAAATGTTATCCTGTACACTTGGCAGCCCTGCTAAGCTATACAGAAGGAAGTAGGGTCCATTATTTAGAAAATTCCTACTCCTGATCTTTAGTGCTCAAAGTCCTCAAAATTCAATGATGTAGCATGTGACTCCAAGAGCAAACCAGTGGCTATTAAATACACTAATGATAGTTATGGTGAAATAAAAAAATTATAATATGATAACAACACATTTATCTTAAATAAGAGGTAGTATTATAGAAACTCCATTTTTGTTTTTTCCTCCGTTTTTCCCTTTATCAGAAAGACGCACTCCCTGGCACACAGGAGAGGATCAATTAATATCTGTTTAATTAGTATTGGACGGATTAATGTTTTTTAACAGAAAATGCATCTAGACTGTTTGGTGCAGCATTAGCCTGAGGGTCGTAGTCCTCCAACTCTAATAGCATTCCGCATTTTTTAGGGACCTGAGTTTACCAGCCCGGGAAACTCCAAGAGGGACGTTCTCACTCAATTCCCCACGAAGGGAACAACGTCGGGGGTGGGGTGGGGGAGGCGAGGGGTCACCGCCTCCCGTAGGTCCGAAGGAAAAAATCTGTGGTTACAGGGGGCTCCACGAGGTGAGCGTGCGAAGGCCTCCCGGGCTCAGTCTGGCCCGCTTCATCCTTCGTCCGCTTCGTTCGCTGCACTAGCGTCCCGCTGAAGAAGAGTGAGGGCGGCCGCAGCTCCTCTGGGAAGACGGCGGGGCGGCCCGTTAGCTAAGGGCGCCGGCGCCGAGTGCCGCAGGCGGGGCCGCGCCCGGGAGCCGGTGGGGGAGGGGCGGCGGCTGCGGCTCGCTGCGTCGAGTTTCCCAGAATTCCCAGCGGTCGCGGGGAAAGTTTACGGGACGTAGGCGGCGGCGGCGGCGGCGGCGGCGGCGGCGGCCCGATAGCGGTTACCAGGCGGCCCGCGGCGGATCATGGCCCCGGCCGGGCGTACCAGGCGTCTCCTCACGGCGTCCCCGGGCAGCTTCGCGGAGCGGGCAGACTTCCGGGAAGGAACTGACATGCGACTGAGCGGCGGCCGGCGCGCTTAGCGCCCTGAACATGCGGCAGTCCCTGTGGGCGACCCCGGGCTCCGGACAGGCGGCGGCGGCTCGGGAGGGAAGGAGGCGGCGGCGCCGGCGGAGGTGGCGGCGGCGACAGTCGGCGCCCGGCGCGGAGCCCTAGGGAGGGTGCTTAGCGCGGCCTCGGGCCTCGTCAAGAAGGATGCTGTCCCGAAAGAAAACCAAAAACGAAGTGTCCAAGCCGGCCGAGGTGCAGGGGAAGTACGTGAAGAAGGAGACGTCGCCTCTGCTGCGGAGTGAGTGTCGGTTGGGCGCTCGTACACCTGGCCCGGGCGGCCGCGGGCTGGGGGTGCCCTGGCGGGGCGCCTGGCGCGGCTCCCCGGGGCTTCTGCTTTCTCATTGGTTGCTGTGGGATAAGGGGTTTTCATTTTCTTGTGCTCAAGTGGTGGTCGTAGATTGAAAGCCCGTAGAGGATAAGCAACTTGAGTTAGTACCCTCCCCCCCCCCCGAAGAGCCCCCTCTAAAAATAACAAACTTCCTAGTTCTGTGGCAGAGTGGTGTTGGTTTTGAGCAGTACTGAAAGAGATGTAGGAAACAGTGAAATTGCAGATCACCTCGCGCTATAGGGATAAAAAATGGTTAGACTGGAACACTTTTACTTCGTCTAGATGCGTGAGATGTGACTCGTGTTTACAAACATTGCTGGTGTCTCTCGCCCGTGCTGGAAGTTGTGTGATATCTGGGGCAGAATTCCTTAGTCCTGCTGCTAGTTGCAGACCGTCGGCATTGTGGCCGCTGCCCAAAGCCTCATCACTTTTGGATCTCAGAGCAGAGGAGCCAAAATTACTTGTATTTGGCTATATTTGGCTATACTTGTATTTGGCTATATTCGCAGAAAGGGCAAAGTAGTCAAAATGATTTCTGTCATATTGGGGAAATTACCAAAAAGGTTTTTCTTTTTTAACTTCAGTAGGGTGTATTCCCCTCCCTCCACTTTTTTCCTTCTCAGTTTAAGTATATGACTCTTGATTTTTGAGCTGAGTTTCTTGAATTTTTAATTGTGTGTTCAGGACATTTGTGAGGTAAGGAGCTGATGTTTTTGGTGCTCATACTGCATGCTGGGCCCTTTGTGTAAATTTCCTTCTTGGAAGCTGGTAGTAACCTTGTGATTTAAGCATTACCTCATATTGTAATTGGGAAAGCTGTTCATAGAGGTTTCTAGTGTTTGCCCAGGATCACACAGACAGGGGTTTTCCACTATAACCACATCGTCAGCCTTCCAGATTTATTGTAGTACTTGCAGTGCTTTCAACAAAATATATCAGATGGGTACATCAGTAACTCGAAACTTTATTTTTAAACCTTTTTTTTTAACAGCTTGGTTCTCAGTTACACATGCTCTTAGGTTTTTGGATGTTTTTAAATGATAGCTTGCTGTTTGCCACAAAGTTGTTTAAACATTACTTAAAATCGTGAAATATGTTTGTCACACCTTTAGGCAAGTAACTTTTGACGTATTTTGTTTTAGTTTCCTTAAATTTTGAGCTTTATGTATTCTGATATTGATTTATTTCTGTCCATTGTTGGCTTCTGAAGCTTATTAATATGAATGCCCTGTAATATTGTTTACTTAATGAAATAACTAAATAGTCTCCAGAACCAGTTTTCTTCATGTTTCAAAGGTATTTGCTTTCTCACCAGGAATGTCTTGGCCCTTTTCAAGTTCGGCATTCAGAAGTACTATATCCTGACAGCCGTTGTTCTACTATTATCTTCTGCTTTGAATTTTATTTACTTAATTTCTTATAGGAACCATAATTTCAGCCTTGGTGTTTTTGAACTGATTCAACATTTGTTTACCTCTTTGAAAGGAGAGTTCTTTATTTTTAATTTTCATGCCTTAACTTTTGGCTTTCAAGCCTTTGATTACTGTGCTAGTTAATTCCAAGGCAGAAAGAGAGAGCTACTAATTTCAATATCTTTTTGAAGGAATCCATCTTTTACATGTTTTGGAGTAGTATTATGTTGCTCTGTTTTATTTTTGAAATTTTGTTTGCTCGAAGAAGGATTTTTGACAGTTTCTAAAATGAAGTGAACAATAAAAAAAATCTATAGTGTTAAATACTAGTACCTGCGTGTCAATTTGTTAGATTGTTTTCTATTTTTATACATTAATTCATGAGCATTTTATTAATATGTAGTTCTTCTTACTGACATTTTATCGTATTACATATGGTAGTGTGCAGAACACATTTGATGCTGGCTGAGCTTACACATAGCATGTGGGAAAGTATTAATCTTTCTCAATTTAAAATACCCAATTACTGTCGTAAAATTTGAAATTGTTTTCTTAAGTCCATTGACATTTTGATTGTGGGGTGGTAGAGGTAAAGGAACAACTTTTGAAAAGTGTTGTTTTTTTTTTTTTTACTTATTGAAATAGTAATTTTACTCTTTGTTTTATTATAGATCTTATGCCTTCATTCATCCGGCATGGTCCAACAATTCCAAGACGAACTGATATCTGTCTTCCAGATTCAAGCTCTAATGCCTTTTCAGCTTCTGGAGATGGAGTAGTTTCAAGAAACCAGAGTTTTCTTAGAACTCCAATTCAAAGAACACCTCATGAAATAATGAGAAGAGAAAGCAACAGATTATCTGCACCTTCTTATCTTGCCAGAAGTCTAGCAGATGTTCCTCGAGAGTATGGCTCTTCTCAGTCATTTTTAACAGAAGTTAATTTTGCTATTGAAAATGGAGAGTCTGGTTCCCGATATTATTATTCAGACAATTTTTTTGATGGTCAGAGAAGGCGGCCACTTGGAGATCGTGCACATGAAGACTACAGATATTATGAATACAACCATGATCTCTTCCAAAGAATGCCACAGAATCAGGGGAGGCACGCTTCAGGTATCTTAACATTATAAATACTACATTAGTTTATATTTGTTGATATTTCAATCAAAAAGATGCTCCTTTTTGGATTTTCCTAGGAAGCCAACAAATACTCCTAGAGAAATACTTTTCCATTTTGCTAGTTTTGCTTAAGCCCATATGCAAGTTGTTGTTAACCTATACTGAATGAAAGAATTCTTGTGTCCATTTATTTTAGTAACTCATGTTATATAAATTTGCTACTTGTCTCAAGGCTGTGTTAACACTGAGAACCTAAAAGTCTGGAGAATTCAATGTCCATTTGGATTGCATTTAGGTTCAGGTTTGGTAGAAAGGGAAGGTAGGTCTTCAGAGAAACTGGACTTAAGCCTGGAAAGGAGGAAGGAAGAATTGAATATGTTAGGTGACTCCATGGGCAACTGCATCCGGGGTTGGGAAACCTGTGGCCTTAATGGTCTGACTTTTGACTGAATCCAAATTTTATAGAACAAATCCTTTTATTAAAAGGAGTGCAACAGAGAAAGATGAAGCTTTTCTTGCCACCTTTGGTGCTTAAAAAAGAACAATCTTGAAATCAGAAAGTTCCCCACCCTAGCACAAATTGTTGATTGTGCATTGAGCATGTCTTTTGTGACAGGCTTAATATGAGCCTTTATATTAAGGACAAAAAGCTGCTTTCCATATCTTTTGATTTAGGGATACTTCTGCAAGGAGCAGAAGAGATTGGAGAAATATACAGTTCTTCTTTATTCCTAAAATATAGTGAAGCAAGCTAAAAATTAATTTTTTTCTTGTCTGATTGTTTTTTTCCTACCTACTGAGTTGTAGGCTTTAAATTTTGGCAGGATAAAAATAAATATGTGAGACAGATTTACTTTTTAGCCCACATAACTTCAAAAGAGCTGACTTAAAAACAGTTTGGAGCATGAATATTTTGACTATAGATAAAAATATATTCACTTAGTATTAATCATTTATCTGTCTAGCATTTTTCTTGGCTCTCTTGGTCTCTGCCTTCTGGTACCTTATTTGGGGAAACAAAACCAATATATACACAACAGTCACAGAACAGTTGTTCTATTTCGTGGTACTGACTGTTAGTGTAATAGGATGTCAGAAGAGAGATCATTGTAGCCTGGAATACTTAAAAGAGTGATTTGTGGGAGAGGTATAGGACTTGGAATGGGCCTTGAGCTTGGGCTTTATATTAACAGGGGATGGGGAGGGAGGATATTTTAGGTGGAAAATTGGAAATAGTCCAGAGCAGGCATGGTTTAAATTCAAGGACTATGTGGTTCTGCCTGGTTTGAAGTATGAAGATAAAAAGGAATGGAGATTTGTGGTCCAACAACAAGTTTAGATTTGAGTCAGGCAGAAGTCATTGCACATTTTAGAAAGACAAGCGATTTTACGAAAGCATTGTTTGAAGATTAGTATTGTAGTAGTAGTCAGGATAGATTCCTAGAGAGAAGAAGATTGCAGGTACCAGTGGTAATGGAAAGGAAAAAGACAAGTCTAAGATGCTTTTGAAGGAAAAATGAGAATTAGGTTTGGGAGAAAGTAAATCACTAAAGTTTTGAAAATTGGGAAATAGTGTGGAATAGTTGGTAAAAACAGCTTTGTTTTATGAAAGCTGATATTAGATTCTCACTGGGATATTGAAGAGGAGAGGTTCCTAGGCATGTAAAAATACTGTAATAAGTATAAGTCCTTTTTTGTTTTTAAAGAGCTAGGTTAAAGCATTAAGACAGTTGCATACTTGAGTGTGTATTTTGATTATTTGTAATATGCAATTCTAAACCTCAGAAATAACTTATTCAACTAAAATGTACATTTTAAAAATAAAGCACATTTATATTTTCTTTTAGAGTAGTACCTGCTTATTATAGGAAATTTGCAAAATGCAGAAAAGTAAAAGTACCTATCCACCAGAGATCCTTTTAGTTTATTAGTTATTTCCTTCATCTTTTTCCATGCCAATTTTTTTTTACATTCTTGTGATTGTACTTTGTATAGCTTCATATCCTTGCTTTTTACTTGAATGAGTTTCTTAATATTATGTACTTTATATAAATGGTTTTAATGACTTCATAATCTTCCATTTGGTGCATGTTCAGTGATTAATATTTTTAAAAAGTTAATGAGGACTTTATGTATGCTTCATACATTTGGAAGAGGGAAAAGTGGGACATGTCCATATCAATGGAACTTGGCCATAAATAGCTTTTAAGGATCAAGGGAGAGTGAAGAGTCAGATAGGATTAGCATAGCACCTGGCTACATAGGTGGTGCTTACAAAAATAAATGGCTGAGGCCAGGCGCAGTGGCTCATGCCTGTAATCCTAGCACTCTGGGAGGCTCAGGTGGGAGGATTGTTTGAGCTCAGGAGTTCGAGACCAGTCTGTGCAAGAGTGAGGCCCCTGTTTCTACTAAAAATAGATAGAAATTAATTGGCCAACTAAAAATATATAGAAAAAATTAGCCGGGCATGGTGGCGTCTGCTTGTAGTCCCAGCTACTCTGGAGGCTGAAGCAGAAGGACTGCTTGAGCCCAGGAGTTTGAGGTTCCTGTGAGCTAGGCTGACGCCATGGCACTCTAGCCTGGGCAACAGAGTGAGACTCTGTCTCAAAATAAATGAATGAATAAATGAATCCAGAGTTTTCAAATTTGGAGACTTCAGACAGTTTTCGGTAGCTGAGGGGGAGCAGGAATAATAACTACGTTTACTATTAATACAGAATATTTGTTATTTTTTGCATTTACCTTTTCCATCTATATTTATTAATATATTGCAGATATCACTGATAGCTCATAATACTTTTCTTCCAGGGCTTTAAGTATATAAGTATGAAGAATTAATAGTACCAAGTTAAAATCTTGTTTTAAAATTCTGATTCATTGAAGAAAATATCATTGAAGGTATATCTGTATGAACTGAATCTTTACTGATCCTCTCAACAATTTGACATAATCTTTTGTAAGTTTAAAGGCAGACTTTATAACAACTTTACAGGTACAACTTAGAAATAAAATACAAGTTAATTGGATATTTTTTCAAATTAAAGGATGTCATTTAAAAAGTAAGATTTGATTTCATGGAATAGCCAAGACCTTGTTTTAATGAGACAGTAGGCTTCTGTGTTCTCTTACCCCAGGCTCTTTAACATCAGATTGCATCAGTCTTAAAGAAGGTTGCAGCTATTTGAAGAATCTTTGGTAATAAAATAACCCTCCCCCCCATTTTAAAAAGTTGTGTGTTTATAGCAGTAGTTGATAGAGTGCCTGAGAAACTTCATTTAATAACATTAACATTATATCAGGGCAATATAGATTTAATGTTTTGCCTTTTAGAAAAGAACAGTGCTTCCTGGAAGGAGTCTCTTAAGTTGCAGGGAAAGATTAGTAACCAATTATTAACCAAACAGAAAAGCCTAATAACTGTCTTTTACAGAGGGATAAATGTGAATATGAGACAATAGCTGAAAGTTTCATTCTTTTTTATTTTTATTTTTTTGAGACAGATTCTTACTCTGTTGCCCGGGCTAAAGTGCTGTGGCATCAGCCTAGCTCACAGCAATCTCAAACTCCTGAGCTCAAGTGATCCTTTTGCCTCAGCCTCCCGAGTAGCTGGGACTACAGGCATGTGCCACCATGCCTGGCTAATTTTTTCTATATATATATTTTTAGTTGGCCAATTAATTTCTTTCTATTTATAGTAGAGTCAGGGTCTTGCTCTTGCTCAGGCTGGTTTCAAACTCCTGACCTTGAGCAATCTGCCCATCTTGGCCTCCCAGAGTGCTAGGAGTACAGGCATGAGCCACCGCGCCTGGCCTGAAAGTTTCTTGAATTCTTCTTGAAAAGACTTGAAACTTGTATCGTCAAGATTTTTGTTGGATAGGGTTCAAGCAATTTAAGTGAATAAAAAGGAGAAACTAAGTTTGTAGGAGGGTAGGATAGGGATGTGCTATAAACTGATTTATTTTCACAAGCATTAAATTTTGATTGCTCTTAACTAATAAATGTAAACAAGGTATGAAAAATTGTTTTGTAATGATTTAATGGCAGTTGTAATTCCTGAGTATTAGTTATTAGAGTTTCAGGAAACACCTTATCTCAAGGGTTAACTTCATCTTATTGTATTTAGCAGAAGCACAAAAACAAGTTATATAATATCTTAAAGAGGTTTAGGGCCTAGGGAGTTCTACGTTTTGCTGTAAAATTTGACCTTTACCATTCTTCGGAAGGGGGAGGGAAAAAATTCTTGGCCCACATACCAGTGAGGCACTTACTGTATGTGCCAAAGGAAGGAGTCCTGCTGTTAACAGGAAGTCTTCAGTTGGAATAGTAAAGACAGATTGAATTCTTTTGTTTTGTACTTAAATAATTTAATTCTATGCAGTTTTAAGTAACAGACTTTTAAAAACATTTTTGTTTTAAAGATGACTAAAGAAATCAAGTTACAAAAATCAAACAAAAAATGTCAGGCTTTACAAAAAAATACTGGACTTGTATTTAATCCAGCAATGCTTAAATATTTAAGTAACTAGAATCATCTTTTGAGGAGGGGTTAATAATCTTTAGACATATAACTTTAAATGGAATTATTTTGCTGAGTAAGAAAGAAAGAAATTGGCTTAATACTTGGATGTCTTTATCAACATCTTGATTATAACATGGACTATAATGTTTAGTATCTATTACTGTGGATCTTGTGGAACTTCATTAGAGTTCCAGATTCAGTTTTTTTCTCTATAGCCATTACAAAATTTGGAAACCAGAATTTTGAGCTTTATAAGGGTAGATCTCATAAGTATCTGCCTGGTGACATGAGATTAAGTTATTTGGAGGCACATCTAGTGAAAGCTCGATAGAGAGACAAAATAATACTTTATTTGCATCTGTTGAGAAAAAAAGATTCTTTTCAAAATATTACTACTCAAAAAAAGAGATTCCTTTCAAAATAGTACTGCTCATTGACAATGCACCTGGTTACCCTGTATAGGGACATAGATGTT